ATGCCGCGTTAAAAGCTTATAATGGACGAAGGAAAAAGAAGAAGATATAAAACTTTTTTCTTGTAAATGGACGAAGGAAAAAGAAGAAGATATAAAACTTTTTTCTTTATATATAAAATATAAAATATAAATATAAAATATTTAATTTTTTATATTTGATGTTTATTTTTTACATAAAGTTTGAAAAAGTGGAAAATGAATTCTTGTATTTAATCAATTGTTTCAAGTACAATTTTATATCGTGAAAATATTTTAAATTATTTATATTATTTATATTATTAAAGTTCAATAAAATTTAGTACTAAAAATATTTAACAATAATAATATTCATATTTTATTTTACAAAATCATGTATTACAATTTTTTACCTAAATGTATAACTAATGGGCGGAAAACTCGATGACATTCTTATATTAAAATGAGGGAGAAAGCTCGAGCAAGAGGAAAGTTATTCATTTATGAAATCATAAGGAAAAGAATAATGATTATGATAAATCTACGTTTTACCAGGTGTACATGACTTTGTCTCATTTCGCGTTACAATTTCATGAAACGCAATGTGTCGAATTGCAATAAAACGCAAATTTATTGCTGACCCTTCCGTTTCTTCTTTTGCTTCTCGCCTTTCTCTCTCATTATCTACTATTAATTTCTTAATATTACTAAAGTTTAAAATTAACGAATATTTATAATTAAGCGTTATATCTTTTATTTTACAGATTTCATGCGTATGTCCTTCTGATGTACGTGTAAAATTTTGAGCCACCCGAAACGAACACTCGATATAATTTCCGCAACCGTAGCTCTCGAATTCGTCCGTCATATCGTCCAGAAAATTACCCGTACGCGGTTCGTACTCATTTGGATTACCTGTATTAAGTATATACATGAGTCAATATGGTATAAAACACACCTATCTAATTTTTCTAAATATTCATATAATTTTAATCGCGCTTTTCTCTGTAATTTCGTATCGGGTACAACGATATTTCCTGTGCGACCATCGAAACATGCATCGCGCGGGGGGATTTTATTAACGTATGATTTTTGAAAAAATCATTCATCTCAGAATTTTCACGCATTTCCCGATCGAAATCGCACTCTCATTTTTCTATAACGTGATAGCCCCGTTTTCGAAGAAGATATGTCGATGCGAGAGTTCGTTCATAACTTGCGTCAATTATATCATTATGATGCGGACGAAAGCGTTCTGTCGCGTTTCACCTGATAGCATGTCGGACAACCATGCCAGAAACATCCATGAAACTGAAGCACGTAACGTTGCATTCCGTTTGCCGATTCCGACTCGTAGTATCCGTCAACACGCCTGCCATCAATTTCGTATTCGCATTCTCGTTCCGCGTAGATTATGCGATGACTGAGTTAGCACTTCTTCCACATTAGTCACTTTTTCGCAAATGTCTGTCCGCATTTCATGCACGAGGAAGCGATAGTTGTGCATTCCTCGAACGGAACATATATTACCACATACATTACCACGTTCTAGAAAAATCTTTTCCTTCTAAACGCCACGAGCGTCGGAGAATATCTACACCGTTACGGTAATATTTTACAATTTCGAGTTGAAAATTAAAAATAGAATTTGATCATTTCTTCGTGCCATTTCGTAAATCGTTCACGTTCTTCGGACTTCATTTGATCGGGAGAATAATATTGCTCGTCATATTGGACCGATGTACGTTTGATTCGTACTTTGTATTAAAGAAATGGGGAAAGATGCCTTTACCCAATGTATCTTTGAGCCCGAAAGCTTTGGGCAAATCAGATAAATGCATCGGCAAATAATTTACGCTATCTATAAATTTAGTGTTCCCGACCGACACGATAATTTTTGTCCCGTTCAAAATTACCAGCGGTTCTTCCGTAATTTCCGAGTTTTCGACTAAATATTTTAAAATGAATTGCGCGTCGAACGCTTTCGGATTATGTGTTCTACAAATGGTCTTTTTGAAACATTTTGTTGTTCGCGTTACATGATTAATAAATTGTTTAATCGGATCATTTCGAAATATAAACTCGCGCACTCCGCACTATGACATCACATTTGTTGTGCGACGTAAAGAGTCGGAACGTGAATTTGTATGTTTTCAGTTTCTTTACACGTCTCGTCCTCTCGCGTTTCGAAATCGTAGAACACGAATGTGACGCGATCTCTTTTGTATTTATAATTTGCTCTATCTTTGGACTCATTCTCATCCCTGAGTTTCTTCCTGTACCATCGTACCACTCGTATCTTCCCCTGGATTCTCGGTAACGACTTTACATCGACTTTACATCGAAGAAGGCGCATGAAGCAAAAATGATTCGAAGGCCGCTGCGATCGGCAAGTTTTACAATACGCATTCATGCCTCGATTTTGACTTTACGAATTGCCTGCAATTGTTACAAATTTTTACCGATTCGTAAGCGCTTGCAGGAGGTTGTTCGTCGTAGAATCTTTCCGCGCGATGACATTCGAAACATGAAGTACCGTACGATTACACGTTTCATACCTAATTAGGCCTGCGTCGGGGGATTCGCATAACAGAGTGGCGTAACATCGTGGGCGTTTTTTCGTGCAGCAGTGACTTCTAATTCATATCACACGCGACGTAATATTCTCCGCGAAAACCAGCAGCGGCTTTTACATTTAATATCGGATTGTAATGACGTTGATGCCTACGTTCATAATACATAATATTTAATCTAGAGGGCTCTCCTTCTGGAGAGGTAAATAACGCGCAACTGTCAAATAACGGATTCTCGCTGCACCCAAAAGTGCTAAAACACCATTATAGGAATATTTTCGGCAGCGAGATACCGTTGAAAACGCTCGATTTCGCGAATTCCGCATCCCTCTTCGAATTGTGACTCCAGTGTTCCTCGTTAGTTCTCTCGCTAACTCGGATTGTAACAAGAAATTCTGTCGTCTTATTCCATTTTTTAATAGAGTTCGCCCATAGATTTCTAGATTTCTACGTTCGCAATGCACTCACGCCATTATAAGGAAACATGGAAAACACAAATTATCCGAATTATTTAATTGCAAAATCAAGCGTTTTGCTATGTTTTCGCGCGTTAAATGATTTGATTTGCACAACCCGCAATGTTGAAAACACATACGTCGAAATTTTCTGCAATATCGATTCTGCTGGCACTTTGAGCTATCGAACTTACGAGTCTTCATATATCCTTGAAAGTTAAGTCGCACCGGACAAAACGATAGTTTTGATGGACCATGCACTAGATTCGCCGAATCGATATTCTTACGTAATCGCCCAGTTCGCTTGAACGTATCGCATGCGCGTAGATTTCGTGGAACGCGTTTTCTAACCAGCGAACGGTATTCGCGCCTTGGCATATTAGTCATATTACGAAATTTGTTTCTCTTTCGAGAACGCCAAAATTTCTGAAACGTCGCGAGTTTTCCGCCCGTAACTCTAAGAAATTAAACTGTTCGTCACTTCGTGTCGATGATGCTGCTACTGCTGATGATACTGTTGCTGCTGATGTTGAAGATGATGATGATGATGATGCTCCTCAATGTCAGCAGGATTCTCTTTTGTTCATTAGATCGGCGTTATCTCCGCTGGCGCTTCTGCCGGTTTGTATTGAAAAATTAAGCAAATCTTGTTATATATTGATATTAATATAATAAATTATGCTAAAATATTGTGTCAGATTGTGATGATTTGAAAATGTTTATAATTACAACATTAATATATATCATATATAATCGTATATAAGCAAACATCACGCGTAAATCTTTTGTTACATTCGTAGTGACTACGTTTAGCATAGTAAGGTAACTCATTCTTAGTTGCTTTGTTCATTCGTAAAAATCTCTGTAATGCCGACTCGATTGATTTGTATCATTCAACATCGGCGTATATGAAATATTTAATAAAAAATTCTTATATGAGTATATATTACGAGAAAAATATATAAGAAGTTTATTGAAATATTATTACCTTCAATATCATGAGCATAGTATTTAGCTTCCTCCTCCTCCTCCCCCTCTTCCTCTCTATCATTCTCGTCTTCTTCCCCTTCCAAAGCTTCTTGTGTCTCTTCTATCTCCGAGATATTGTCGGATTCCACCACCGAAATATCGCTGCCATTATCCACTTCCCTCTGCTCCTCTTCTTCTCTCTTTATAACTTCCTCCTCCTCCTTCTCCTTTTCCTCCTGCTCCTTCTTCTGTTCTTCTTCATTTTCTCACACTAAAAAGTGACATTTCGTTATATTTTGCATAAACTTACTGTGGATTTTCATTAATTTTTTAAAACTTACATGGTATGATGGAATAAAAAGGTTCCACAATATATGCATGGGCAGAATCCTGCGATCATCATCTACAATTATATTTTTACATTAGCATTATTATTCTTATTTATATTATTTGTTTATTATTATTCTATCCTTACAAGAACTGGATTTATAGGGAGAAATATTTAAAAAATCCAATTTACCAGATGATAATATAACCATGGAGATGTTCCGCTCATTACGGGGGTAATCCCGCACGGCCTCAATTCGTGTTCTTCCTAGAAAATTAAATATTTTTAGTAGACTATCTAATTCAATCTGCAATTTAATTTCTAATTAATTTTTTATTATTTTCCAACTTACGTACGACTTCATTAATCACTTGTTCGGCTAGATATCGTCGCCTCAAACTAAGTCGATCTAACGAGTGGCCCCCGCGATGCGGAATCGCATGGCCTACGATACAATTCAAAACTATGAAACAAATGTTAGAATTTAATGAAACGAACTTTTAATAAAATTTTCTTTGATTTATTTAAAAAAATATATTGTTACCTCCAATGCGACACTTAAAGCTATGTAACCTCCAGCATCGTCTTCTTCATGATTAAAGCACTCACGTACTTCTAAATGACGCGAAATTATTATATCAATCTCGCATTGCCGCCACAATGCATAATGCATAACAAGATGTACTAGAGCATTCACCCGTGAAAACTGAATAATTCTCCTCGTCGTTTTCTGACAACTTTGTCAGATAATTAATTGTATCTAACTTCTGATTCAAGTTGCAGGCGATGATAAAGAATTTTGTAAACGATTCGCGAAGTGCTATTTTTATTGTTCACGAAACTATTGATTTTATAATTTCACAATGAAAATCAATTCTTGATAGAGAAAATCAACGTAGGACTAATCCTTAACTCATTCGATACACGCTATTTATACGCTAGTGATATTCACGACAATTCCTAAAGAAGGATGAATCAATAAAATTTCTAGCCACGTCATTGGCTAGTAGATTTTTGACAATTTTTCTGATTGGTTTCCTTCCTTTTACATAGAGATTTTCTTGAAAAATTTTCAGAGTGGGAGATGATAAAAACTCTCTGGTTACGAACGACATTCTAACAAACTTTGACAACATAAAATTGACTCTCTTCCTCATATATAAGCATCACTCTCCTCATCGCTCGTCTTAGGAAATCCCTTTCGTTATTATTTTGGAAAAGTTTTTGTCACATGCTTTTTCGTACTATGGTATTCGTATTGTCAGAGTAACTTAAATTTAACCTTTCCCTTTTTTCCGTTTTTTAGAAAAATTCTCACATACTATTAGTCTACGATAAGGAAAAATAGACTTTTTCAATGAAGAAAAAACAGAATTTCATTCTTATATCACGCACCGCTTGATTTTTATTAGATTTCGTTTGACGCTGAAAGAAAGAAAAATTGTGGACTCATTGAACATAACCCTCGACACTTACATTTTTTCTTGACTTTCGTTATATAACTAAGACTTAATTTTTTTGCTATAAAAAATTTTATGACAGTTAACAAATAATTTTCTTCGGGGACAATGTTTCTCTTTCTTTAGAAAAGAATTTTTTTAAACATTAAGATTGCTTTTTTGCTCGGATTAACTTTTATGTTTATACGTAACCTTAATTCCAGTCGTACTAATGAGAAATATTTTTAAAATTTATGAAAAATTAATTCGACATTAGAATATTTCCTTTACCCTGACGAATTACCTTTTCGAATACAATAGTACTTTATATTCGAGTAATCTTGACGATTTATTCGATTTTTTACGAATTCAAGCACATTTGTTACATGAAATATTTCCGTTATCCATCTTCGAAAAAATTCTTTCTGAAAAAATAACTGCGTCACATAACAGCAAGATTTTAGAAAAGTAACAATTTAAATAAATATTTACCGCAGATTTTCATTAGTTTTCGAAAAACATATATAAGCGCATATAGGAGGTCTGTTCAAAAACTATTGCGAATTATGTGTTTTTTCAAAAATTATTTATTTATTCATGAATATCTATTTTGTCCCCTTCAAAGTAATTCCCATCAGATATTATACACTTGTGCCAACGTTTTTTCCAGTCCTCGAAGCACTTCAAAAAATCATTTTATGTGATCTTGTTCAGCTCCTCCTTCGATGCAGTCTTTATCTCCTCAATCGTAGCGTAGCGTCGTCCTTTCAGGCGTGGGCCTCTTCAGTTTCGGGAACAAGAAAAAGTCACAGGGGGCCAGATCTGAGGAATACGGTGGCTGCGGCATCATTAGTGTGTTGTTTTGGGTCAAAAATTCGCTCACAAGCAACGATGTGTGAGCAGGGGCGTTATCATGGTGCAAAAGCCAATTTCGCGGCGACCCGTCTCATGCCCAAATCATTGGTAAAAATCGAATGGCATGAGCCAATCGATATGTTTAGGTCCTCAGCAACTTCTCTAACGGTGATTCGACGATTGGCCAATACTATTTTCTTCACTTCATCAATGTTTTCGTCTGTTGTTGATGTGCTCGGGCGTCCGGCACGCTCTTCGTCGTTCACATCTTCTCGGCCCTCTGAGAACATTTTGTACCACCGATAAACGTTGCTTCGGTCCAAGGTAGCTTCACCATATGCCACAGTCAACATTCGGAATGCGTCCGCGCACTTAATTTTGTTTTTCACACAAAATTTGATACAGATTCTTTGATCCATTTTTTGGAATAGGCAAAAATCGAAGACGAGCCAAAACACATGCAAGCAAAGCAGCTGTCAAAAATTAACTGAACATTCAAAATGGCCGAACTTGTCGGCATAAGTGAGAGACATGAGTACCAACATAACGCCACAAAAAAATCGAAAATCGAATATACGTAACCCGCGGAAATTCAAAATTCGCGATACTTTTTGAACAGACCTCGTTCGCACATAGTGTTATAATATTTTAGCTGTGTCTCGTTGTTCGAAGAATCTACTTCGAAATCACTTCTCCTAGTTTTCCTTTATTTGAGTGAGAAACATTCATTCAAAGTTTTCACGTGAAGCGACATGACTGAAAGACAAGAAATTGGAAATCACTTTGTGCCTGATAATCCTCGCGTGATAAACAATATTACCGAATGAAATGACCAACAACATTTGCTATTCCCTACGACGTACTCAACTCCTTTCATACAAAGAAATTACACGTGGGATTACAATCAACAAAGGCGGGAACCTTCGAGTCTATTGTCAAATTGACTGGTAATTACGCAGAAAGAATCAACTTCGATTTGAACGCGTGGAAACAATTTCAAGAGAATATGGGACTCATGAGCACATACCTAAACGGAAATAGCAAAATCAAAATAAATCTTATCTCATTTGCAAACATATTTGTCACCTTTATCTTAGGATTCGAAAGCCATACTGGTGACGCGCAAGCAAAATGAAAATTTTTCAAAGGAGACTTCATCCGGAAGTACGCAAGCAGAACCAATACAATCGCCAACGAAGAAAACAAAATCTTATTCCGTCGCGATTATAAGGCAGCAAGCATTTCAAGGAATGGAGAGAGTAATCAAATGCGCATATAAACTAATTGACATCTATAATCGATAATGTTAACGAATGCGATATTTGGTGAAGGAGATAGCTTCTGACTAATTTCTACATCGACAGCGAAATCATCAAAGTCATTTTTCGAGGCAACAAAGAAAATATTAAACGCTGCGTGGAAACACAAATAAAAAATTTATTACTTTTGGAAACATAGAGAAGACCGAGGTCAGTTGAATATAGGGGTAAGTAGAATAATCGAGGCTACATTAAAAACAAAACACACGAGACATGCATAAACGTGTCTGAGCACGCAGCAGCGACTGCCGCTAAGTTTGCTGTAACATCTTGTTGTGAACACATCTATGATAGAAATTATGTCAATTTAAAAAAATCGTATACTCAAGTAAATATTTTTATTCTTAAAGTTTTTATTTTACTATCGTATATATAGGTGTACAAATAAGTTTTCGCCGTTTGACAAAAGACGGCGCCACTAGCAAGTTATGATTAAAATTGTCTGATGTAAAACATTATATCGTAAGGTTGGACATTTGTCAACAACAACCTTGAAATACTAGCGATTTTGTATCAGCATCATATATTTTTTTTGTGCGAAATGCCGAGTTTTGAGCCGAATAAGCGTCATTTGCGGGAACTTTAGATTTACTTTTTTAATTCGAAGAAATCTGCAGCTGAGGCTCATCGATTGCTTGTAGAAGCATATGGCTGCTTTAAGTGAGAGAAGTTGTCGTGAATGGTTTCAAAAATTTAAGAACGGTGAATTTGACGTCGAAGACAAAGAACATAGTGGAAGGCCGAAAGTGTACGAAGACACGGAATTGGAAGCATTATTGAATGAAGATTCGTGCCAAACGCAAAAAGAACTTGCACTTACATTAAGAGCGATTCAACAAGCAATTTCACATCGTTTGAAATCATTGGGAATGATTCAAAAGCAAGGGAATTGGGTTCCATATGAACTGAAGCCGAGAAACGTTGAACACTGATTTTCCATATGTGAAATGCTGTTTGTCAGGCATAAACGAAAGGGTTTTTTACATCGTACAGTCACTGGTGATGAAAAATGGATCCACTACGATAATCCAAAGAAGAGGAAATCATGGGGATCACCTGGCCATGTTTCAACATTGACAGCCAAGCCGAATATTTATGGAAAAAAACTCATGTTGTGTATTTGGTGGGATCAGCTTGGTGTCGTATATTATGAGTTGCTCAAACCGAACGAAACCGTTACTGGGACTCTCTACCGAACACAATTGATGAGATTGAGCCGAGCATTCAAGGAAAAACGCGCCCACTACTACTCCAGGCATGACAAAATTATTCTCCTGCATGATAATG